TCCAAACATTTTCTTAAAATCTAAAATGTAAGAATGGATATTTTAGACATGAAAAACCCATAATTGTGTTTTTAGAACTATCTAAATACAATTTTACAGTAAAAGCTCTAAATAAAATCATTTTTAGAAGTTTTAGAATTTTATTATTGAATATTATGCATATATAGTTAAGATTCTTATTTATTATTTTGAATAGTATGTGTACTGCGAATATTGGATAATGCTAAACTTTAGAATAGAAGACTTTATTAAAATCGAGATAGTGTGATCTCCAACATTATACTTATGAATTGCGTGATTGGTCTAAGTCCAGATGTGTCTGACCTTTAGCGCATTGTATTGAATTATGTGATGATATTGATCGATGAATAGTATGATTTTGGTGTGTCCTTGTTTAGTTATAATATGCATAGTTTAGAAATACACTAGGAGTATAGGATTTGAAGTCGATTATGAAAATATGGAAGAAATGAAAGTGATAAATGTTATTCATTAATGTGTATATGATTAAAAGTGGGATGCATTTATAGGTCTCGCATCCATTTTTTAACTGAACTCCTAAATATATCTTTGTTATGAGGGCCATGAACGCACATGTTGTAATAGTATGTGGTTTGGCAAACCGACAATTATCCATGCTAGCATAAGTTTTTCATAACTAGGAAAAGTATGGTGATAGCAATTTAGGAGCCTATGAGTACCTAGAGTACTGTTATTTGGTGAATATTTTAAAATTGAAATGAATAAAGTGGCATGAGCACATAAATTGATTATGTTTGATTAAGAGAGAAATGAATTGTATTTGATTAAGTGATAAATGATGTGTATGAATGATTTTTGTCTGATTAAAATTGTTAAAAATGAAATATTTATTTTTGGATGCATGTTGTATTAGAAAATATTTTCTACATTACTATGACTATATTATAAAATAAGAATTTAGTGGGGTAAAGGATGCTCACCTTTACAAACATTTTCTAGGTAAAGAAGAAATAAATGAAGAGAACTACTCTATTAATATTAGTTTATTTTGAGGAATATAATAATATTAATTGAGTTTTTATTTATAATTTATAATATTTTGATACCCTATTATAAATGATGATTTAAGGTGTGTGTGTAATACTTAGTAGTCAATTGCTTTAAATTTTAAATTATATCAAGTTCTAATTAGAAATTTAATTTATTAAAAATAATATTATTTATATTTTGAATTTGAATTATATATAACATAAAATTTTAGTCTTCATTCAAATTGTAAATTTAAGTTATAAAAATGCATTTTTATTTTTATTATAAATGAGACTTTTATACAAAAAAAAGTTTTTTTTTTTAATTTGCTAACTTTTATTAGTTTATATTTATATATTTGTACAACTTTCTAAAACTATTCAAAACTTTTATAATTTTCATTAATTTTTATTCAAAATTTTATATATTATTAAGAAAAATTATTTAAATTATACTAAGGATGTTACATTAAATAATAAACTCAAGCTAACACGAGTTAGCAAGTAAATAGTGCATGAGTGAGTGAGTTGTTTTTAAAATCGTTAGTTATATTTTAAACAAAATAAACGGCTCAGATTTTTTTTACATGTAACTTAATAATACCAATTTTCATATATTTATGATTTAATCTTTCATAAAAGTTTGTAAAATTAGTTTTTGAATCTTCAAAACTTGTTATTTTATTTCTTCTTATGATTGTATTCATAGCCATTTTTTTATTTTTTGTTAAATAAATCTTGTATGTATCTCGTATCTAGGTAATGATTTCAAAAACCTTTACATTCACATGCACTAGTGCAATTTTAATTTATAATTAAAAATAAATTTTGAATTAATAGAATATTGAATATCATTTTAGATCTTTAGGATTTTCTGCAAACCTTATGTATGAAGTTCATGAATTTTAGAATTAAAACTTTCACATTCACTTATCATTTTCAATCTTTCTCATGCCTTATGTATATTGGTCGCATATGCTTCGTATAATTCTACAAATTTTGCTTACTGGATGGATATCATTTAAGCGATCAAGTCACACAAGATATTCTAATATTCACTTAAACAAATAAAGTTTGGTTTAAGCAAACTTGGGTATCATATTTTTGCTTAAGTTAAATTATTATGACTTAAGCGAAATTGAATTGACTTAAGCTAAAAATAATAGCTTAAGTGAATATTGATGAAATTTATATGTTTATCAATGCATAAAATTAGACTTAGCAAAAATTACAAAAAAAAAAAAAAGTCTTTTTGTATTTTTTTATTTTTTTTGTTTAACCACATCTCTTTTGTTATTATCCTTGTTCCGATCTAGCTAAGGGTATGCTATTTGGGAGGAGAAAATAGAGAGGAATTGAAGTTGGATAATGAGAAATTTGAACAAAGCATTTACGATAGTATTTCAAGTGAGATTACTTAATTCCATTCGATCTCTTATCTTGGACATCTTTGTTTGTGGGCAAGTGTACTGGTTGAAAACTAATAAAAGATTCTAAAATAAGTTTTCAAAATATCGTTTCATAAGAATTGTTTCTAATTACTAAGAATTTTGTAATTTAATTATTTGAACGTAAAGGATATGAAATCAAATAAAACAATAATTTAAATATAAAAGTAATAAAATTAAAAATAGTGCAACATCTGACAATAAACTAATCGAGAAGAATTTATGGTGTATAGTTTCACTTTTACAATTCTTTATATTATCTTTTAAATTAATTCTAATTTCATTTTTCTATAATTGTCAATCACTTATCCTAAATCTATTAACACATAATGGTTATATAATATTAACAGTCTTTTTCCTAAGCTATCACTCCTAATGGTCAAGCAAGTAAAGTAAAAAGAAGACAAAATATGAAGAAGCCATGAATTGTTAATTTAATAACGATTGAAAGAGAAAAATTAAGCTTGATCCACCTAATTGTTTGTCTTATTTTATCATATACATATATTAACTATATGTGGTATGGTCGCTTATGATATAATTAATTATTGATATGTTTAAAAGTTATCAATTTCAAATAATACAAATATAATGTAATAGGGTAAATACCAATGAAGAAAGGAAACATAAAATTATTATTAATCATAAAGATCCAATAAAGTCTTGTAAAAAATCTACCATAGCCCTAATTATAGAATTAGCTAAACATAATATAAAAGAAAATCAAAATAATACTAAACAAATTTATAGGTAATTGAAAAGTGAATACAAACTAGAGGAGACTCCTCTAGCAAATAGACGATGAGAACTCTTGATCACAAGATGCACTCTCAAAGCTTCAATAGTTGTTAGTGGTTGTACAACACCAAGATTGAAGAAGTAAAAGGTAAGAGAAAATTCTAAAATTTCTTCATAATTGGACGTCTCGCAGATAAGTATGGCCATGCAAGATCATAAGTATGGTCGTACTTTTGGCTTGAAGCCCTCTTGTGTCGACTATTAGGATATGCGTGTGTATTGACTGCTATGAAACTCTATTTTTCAACAAATTTGCCTCAAATTGTACCTAAAACTCCAACTATATTCTTTACTGTTAAATTAGACAATTAATATATAAATTATTGCGAAACTTAAACAAAATAATGACCATATATAAATATATAGGTTGTCAAAATATAAACTTATCAATCTGCTTTAAACTTTTATCACTTAAATTTTAAACATAGTCACTAAATCTATCAGACTAGTTGTTAAAAATATGAATGAAATGATTGAGTTAGCTTTAGAAACAAAGATGAAAGGAAGTAATTTTGAGATAATAGAGTTTAATTTTATGTAAATGAAAAAAATTACTTTCATAAATATTACAATTATACTTTTAAAAGATATTTACTTTAAAAATATATTTTTAAAAGACCTATTTTAAATATCTAATTCATAAAAAATTTTAATTTATAAAATTTATTAAAAATTAAATAATAAATATTTTAACTTATAAAACCAGTTCTAGTAAATTATGTTACAAATTTATTTATAAGTTATATAATACACTCTCGCATCACTTAAATTTTATATATATATATATATAGAGAGAGATATATAGATGTTTCTTAGAATTGAAAGAGGTATATGTACTAATAGAGGAGAAAGAAATGGATAAATATAAACTCAATAGTAATACGATAAGATTAAAGAAAAATATAAAATATTTTTTTATGTTTTTTTATGTGAACATTGTTAAGTATTTATAAATTAAAATCGTTTGTATAATTGATAAAAATGACACTTTGAGAATCCCCAAAATTGTGTTACTTGATCTGCCCACGTTGCTAAGAGAAGCCCTACTTTCAGTCGAAAACTGTGGAAGAAGTGGCTGTAACAGAACTAACTTTAATTCACCGGGGTAGAGTGGTAGACCAAATATCTGTACGTCACTTGTGTATGGTTGCCATTGTATGCCTTTCCCTTGTACTTGGGAGTTGAGACTGAAATTAAGAACTTGCGGACCTACCAAAAAGCAATCAACCCAAGTGAGATCTACGTGAGTGAAATAAAATAGTTATTTTATCGTAGACAAACATTCATAAGGACTCCAACAAAATTATTGAAAACTAAAAAGTAAAAAAGCTCTTTTCAAGATATAATATTAATAAGATTTTTCTTTTTCACATCATCCATTTATCATATACTTTTCTACTTTTAATACAAAATATTGAACAACAGTGAAAGGGTAAGCGCGCTGAAGCCCCTCATGGCTCTAACAAGCATGCAAAACCTTTCTCGTCCTAGTTATAGTTATAGGTAACATTTTTTAAAAATATTATATACTAATTATTTAACGAATATCTTTATATATTTATATTAATTAATTGACAAAATTCTTTTTATTAAATTACGATCGGATAATGTATTTATTTAAGGGTAGGTGTGAAATAATAGCTGTGTGCAATTAGTATAGGTGTGAAAGGGAAACAATCATTTTCCTATAGGTTCGAGGGTGGATATATATAGAGCACAAGAGTGAACGTTGAGTCTCAAAGAACAGGCTGTCAGAACTCAGAAAGATAGAAAGATGGGCAGCACGTACATGTGCGCGTTATTATTGTCATCTGCTTTATTACTTCACTCTTATTTGGTCATTGCCCAAGAGCAAAAGGTGGCCGTATCTGATAGACAAAAAACATCGCATTTCAAAGGCAGTGAAAGCGATTTTTATTGGTTCTGGCATTGGCATTGGCATTTCCCTCCACCGGCGGAGTGTCCTCCACCTCCGTCACCTCCACCTCCGTCACCTCCTCCTCCATCGCCTCCTCCTCCGTCGCCTCCACCTCCATCACCTCCACCTCCGTCCCCTCCACCTCCATCACCTCCGCCTCCGTCCCCCCCACCTCCGTCGCCTCCTCCTCGGCCGCCACCTCCACCTCCTCCCCCTCCACCGCCACCCGTGAACCTGCTGGAGAGAGCCCGCAAAGCGCTCCTAAATTTCACTCGTTTCGTGGATGACCCAACGGGATACACGCGAAACTGGAAGGCTGGGACGGACCCATGTAACTACAACGGGGTGCGATGTGCGCAGTTTCCAAAATCAAATCAGCGAGCAGTTGCGGGGCTGAGCCTGAACGGAGCAAGCCTGTCTGGGAAGAACGGTGCAGATCTGCCTCTCTCGGGCATCTTGGACAGGATACCAGAGCTCACATTCTTCCATGTCAACACCAACAACTTCACCGGTGCCATCCCAACTGAAATCACCAAATACAAATATTTCTACGAGTTAGACGTCAGCAACAACAAACTAGAGGGGGAGTTCCCAAAGCAAGTGCTTCAGTCCAAGCTGCTGGTGTTCTTGGACCTCAGGTTCAACCGTCTCTGCGGCCCAATTCCGCCACAGCTGTTTCAGTTGGATTTGGATATTATTTTCATCAACAACAATAAATTCAGTGGCAATCTCCCCGATAACTTGGGCTCCACGCCGGCCAGGTTCATCACTTTTGCCAACAACAAACTCACGGGTCCAATCCCGAGAAGCATTGGGCAGGCTTCCAAAACCCTCACCGAAGTGCTCTTCTTAGGCAACCAATTTAAGGGCTGCTTGCCCTACGAAATTGGGTACCTGAAAAAGGCAACGGTCTTTGATGTGAGCAAAAACTGGTTAACGGGTCCAATCCCACGCTCCTTTGGCTGCTTGGAAAGCATTCGGTTCCTGAACTTGGAACACAATCAGTTTTACGGAGAAGTTCCCGAGATGGTTTGTCAGCTTTCAGGGATACGCAACGATGGGAAACTCTCTTTATCGGGCAACTATTTCACTCAGGTTGGTCCTTCATGCAGGAAGCTCATAGAGGACAACATCCTTGACATCAGCTACAACTGCATCCTCGGACTTCCCAACCAAAGACCCCACGGAGAGTGCACTCGTTTTTTCTCCCACGTCAATCCCTGCCCGAATCACAAGTCTCTCTTTTACGTCCCTTGTAAGCAATACCGCTCTCACTACCATTCCAACTCGCTTCACCAAACCCCCTCTCCTCCGGTAACTTACAACTCTCTCATCCCTCATCATCGCTAGCTATCGCTCCTACGTACGTACACACTCTTCAACATCATCAACGTCCATGTTCCATCCTATCTTATGGATATAAACTGTACCATATATATATATATAGACACACACACACATGTTTGTCATGTTTGTTTTCTTAATTTGTATTAATTATGATTATTAATGAATAAGCAGTGTCACCCTAATCGTCATATCTTTGACTGGATGGCAACTTGGTGTAATTTTCATAAAATGCTTGAAATAGACTTTGGTTCTACCTTCTTACAACAGGTCTCACTCATCTTCAAATTTTGTTGTGCCCGATTATACCATTTCTTTTCTCGTGACCTTTTCAATTTCTCTTTTTTCGTTTCTATTCTTTTGCTATCTACTATATTTTAATTTTCATCTGGACGAATCCAATAAATATATTAAGCCTCTCTGTGCATGGAAGAAAACTAGGAAAACTAATAGTCACTTCTAGCTCCTCGTTAACACTCCTTTAAAGATTTTCGATGATTTTTAATAAAAGTTTCTGTTATAATTTTTTTAATTTTTTAAATATTTTTTATATTTATTCTTTATAAATATTAAGTTTTTTAGTTTTTAAATAATTAATTTGATTATCGAGTTCAATTTTGAATAAAATAAAATACTATAGTTAATTATAATTGATATTATAAATATGATTGTATACTTTGATCATATAAATAGAAAATGCTGTATAATGTAAAAGTACGTGAATATAAAGAAATAATTTATTTATTTTTAATCTTTCTTCTCATTCTCTCTCTTTGTGTGAGTTTTGATAATTTCTCCTCAACAATTTTAATAATTGTTTAATACGTATCTTTTGATTAAAAAGATCTCACAAATAAAATTGGAAGAATTATATATGTAAAAAAACGCAAAAGCCAGATGAAGTCTACTCTCTATACGTAAATTTTAAGTTACTTTGTCTGTAAATTAAGTTCTATAGACTTCTGGACGAATTCAACACTCATAATATTTAAGTTATTATCTGCGGGATAATATTATTTGAGTCAGATAATATTACAACAAGTGATAAAATTCTTTTTTTTAAGTATTTAATACATATATATATATATATATATATATATATATATATTGAAACTCAAATTTAAAATCATATATCATAAAATAACTTCTGCTAATTAATCCATGTGTTCTGGGATCTACGACTATTGTTTCTTCTCTATTATTTTGTTTCACGGTTAAATATAACAATACATACAGAAATAATAGCGTTAAAACAATTTACATAAATATAAATTAATTAACATTAAATTCATTATATGTGTGCATATTTATGGATCGAGTATTATTCCACTGTAAATATGAAGATATTACTTAAGAATTAATTTGACCTTTTAAAATAATTTTTCTTATGATCAAATTTATTAAATAACACATGCATTTTATTTGCGAAGCACAATAATCTTAGACAATTTGTCGAAATAATTATAACAATTATTTTACACAGTTTGAATTTAATGTTGTAATGATAAAAATATAAAGCTTACTTTAGAGTGTATTAATTTTAAAATTATAATTAATGATAAATAATTATGTCATGTAAACATGAAAAAATTATGCTAAAATATATTAATATACAATTGCGAGTGTGTGTGTGTGTGTGAAAACTTTATAAAAACTATAATATGTAAATTAAAATAAAAATATTTATATAAAAAAATACAAAATTTATTTTAAAGTGTATTAACTTCTCGTATAGAACATGTATTAATTTTTAAATTCACAGTAAATATTTGTATTGCACGGGTATGAAAAATAAACATAAAACAATGTTAATTTTAAATTAGGGAAAAATTAAAAATCTAAGTTGCTCTCATAAACTTTGGTCCATACGTGCACTTTGGTCATGTTATTTTAAAAAGATGCAAATCAATCCTTAGATGCAAGTAACTACATCTTTGTTATATCTATTAAAAAAAATGGATGGTAAACGGCGCGTGCTTCTCACGTAATTTTTTTTTCTTCCGAAATTTGTCAAACATAATTGTACTTTTTTAAAAATAAAATAAAATTTCTTCAATGTTGCCATAATCTTCCTCTTTTTCATTGAATGTGTGACTATTTTTGTAGCTATCATCAACTGTGAGCATGCCTTAATTTGTGATCTTCCTATGAAAGCTTAGCTATCATCCAAGCTGTTTTTCTTGTTCGTCCCATCAAAACTTTATTTCTCTGCAATTAATTGTAAATTAGAGTAACTAGATTTATTTAGTCTTTAAAATTATAAGGCGTCGGTCAATTTAATTTATAATTTTAGAAAAATTCACTTTTAATGTTTTTAAAAATTAGTTGTTTATTTTTTACTGTTATTATATATTAAAAATTAAAATGAATATTATTTAGTAAAGTTAAATATTAAATTAAATTTTTTTAAAATTTAATAATTAAAAAATTGACGCTCATAAGAGACTAGACTAAATATATATGAAAACTATTCCACCTTGTAGAATAAAACCTGGGGGAGAAAAAAAAATAATTTGATGGATAATTGTTTTTTAACTTGCCCAATATGATCTTAGCAAATTCAAACTCTTGTAGAATGGGAGAAGAGATGAGAAGCACCTCACTGAGAAGTGATTTTGGAGATTAATATTTCACTTAATGGTTTGAATAGACAACAATAATATAGGAGGGACAAAAAAAAATATTGAGAGGAGAGTCTTACCCAACATAACACTGACATATTTAATTTATTTTAAAGAATTTTGTTGACAGGATGAACTCGTTCAACCCAATCTAATTCAATTAAAAATTAATGAATTAGATTTAGATAAAAATATTAGAACACAATAAAAATATGAATTGTTTTAAGAGTTTATAATGTTAAAACTTAATTCAATTTAATTGATTCAATGACTCATCACACATGTCTTTTTTTAATTAACTTTGTGCTATTTTTTTTATTTTTTCTCAATTTATTTGAAGTGAAAAATTGAACATTGATAAATTATTTAATCTTTTAATTTTTAAATGTTATGTATTACTTTAAATTATGAGCTGAATATTAAATTTTACTTTGTAATTTATAAGAAGTTGTTGAAGTTTGTTTTTTATTTTTTATTTTTTAATTTCTTATTTTAAATAAATATTAAACTAAAAATTTTATATTATGTCTTAAAATGAATAATTTCAAATTTTATTTTAATATATTCGTTATTTAAGATATTAAAATTGAACTATATTAATTATACACATACTTTTAATTTCTTTTATAAAGTGTTATAAGTGTTTATCGAACATCTCAACTTATTCATGATTGGGTTGAGTGAATATTATACATTGACTCAACTTGACTAATAAAATTTTGATTGGAGTAAGTTATTTTTTATGTTAAAATCCACCCAACTTAACTCATAAATATCCTTAGTTTGTCCAACAAATATTCCTTCAACTATTTTATCTTTCCTTCATCACTTTAATTATTATTGTAAATATATCTTTTGTATGTATAAAAGATAATAGAATTTTTTTAAAATAATGTATAAATATTTTAAGCATATTATATTTAAAATAATATAAAATATATTATTATATAAAAATTATATTTTTCGTATAAAAAATATTATCATAAGTATTATAAAATAAATAACTAAAGAAAATAATAATAAATTTTAAATAAATGTATATTAATGAGTAAAAAAAATACCTCGTTGAAGTGCAAGGGTAAAAATCAGTTTACATGTAACTTATGTTTTTTATTCATTCAAATAAAAAATAATCTCACTTTTTTTATGTATTAAATATAAAAATACAAGTGTTTTTTTATTATTAATAAACATAAAGCATCTTGACTCTATACCACCGCGAGCACGACGACCTACGAGAAAGGGACAGGCTCTTTGGAGGCATCGGTGATTGGGCTAAGATAGAGAATGTGGGCCCAAATGAATAGTTATGGGTGGCCCAAGTTTGCTGGGTAACAACTACCGGATAACAGCTAACTATAATCCATCCTTTGTTTTGGGTCATTAACAGTAATCCGTGTGATTGCAAGTAATCTTTTGTGCTGGGAGCTTAAAGCGACGTTTACTTAACTGAATAGACACTCTTTTTTATTATTATTAATATGAATAGACACCCTTTGAATCATTGGTCAGGCACCATAAATGCATACTAGTCATTCACGTCTGTTTGATTAAGGAAAAATGGTACTCACACCCTATATAGGGTTGTACATTTAGTAGAAGAAAAAAAAAGATGTGATCAATAATGTAATTACAAAAAGTTATTTATTAATGATTGAATATCAAATTATGATAACTATATATAATATAAAGATGATAATCGATAGAGTTTGATGAAAATATTATAATATCTATTTTTTTTCTATGGTTTAAAAATATGAATTTTGTTATATATTGGCGCTTTTTGTGGTTTTTTATTTGAAATTATAAAATGTATTTTTTTTTTAAATTACAGAATTATGGTTTAATTTAATGGTATTTTTAATTGTCAAAAATTTAGTTAAACTCAAAAGTCACCATTGACAATTATATAAAAAAAAAAACTATTTTTTTATTCTAAAAATTGTTATTGACAAAATTTTAAAAAAATATTTTCTAACAAATAAAATCGTCATAGTTGACTTTTAAAGGTTCAAAATAATAAAAAAATTGTCAATCCACTAAAAAATTACCATTAACATGTTTTTTAAATTGTCATTAACAACTTTTGATTACTTAGTATTTAAATACTACATTCACCATTTGTAGCAAATTGCAAGGGAAGGAATGTGAAGATTTTTAGAAGTTGAGTTTATTCATTGAAAAAAAAAATTGTCAATATTGATATATTTTAACAATAATATTTATATAAATACTCGCGAAGATATGTTATTTAGATGCAAAAAATCAACATTTATGTATATAGTAGATAATGTCTTATTTGTATAACTGAAGTATTACCTTACTCAATATGTTGAAGTTGAGTTTTTAAAAATAGTAGAAAGTATTGCGTATAAGTGTCTAATATCGATATTTAGTAGTTTTATGCAATATCATACAATTTTAATAACAAACAATGATAATGTTTAACAAATATTTTAAATACATAAACAGTGTTGTCCCTTAACTCCTTCCATTGAGTTGTACGTTGTTTTCAAAACAGTTGTAATTGACGTTTATTTAGACGATGATGAGAACATACAATAAGCAATGACAATGATTTAAAGGAGAATATGGAAGGAGCAAAGACAGTGAAGATGAAGTTGTGGATGATAAT